AGGTGGAGAGAACCATGGCCTAGACCTGTGGAAGCATTAGGAGAGGGCAGATAGTCGGAACACGACACCTTTTTTTTTTCGCAATGCTCTGAATTTGCGTGTTGGTGACGGTGAAAGAAAGAAACACAAAGGAAAGGGTCAGGGTTCTGCGCTAGCGTTCCGATTCCGAGAAGGGTTGCGGAAGGGTTGCAGCCACGTCTGGAGGTCCACGTTTCTTCTTGCGATCAAATGACGATGACCAGTTAGCGTGTGTACTACTTGTACTACATGAATGCTTTGAACGCAGCGCGCAAAGCTCAGAGATATGTGCATGAATTGTCGATGCTTCCATCCAGTGTGTAAGACGCTTTTAGTGACGACATTGCATGTGGATCGTGCGCGTGAGCTTCAAGCACATGGATCCAGGGACCCCAGATGTCGCACCTCGCACCGCAATCCACCGGACGCTTCCCGAGTGCCTGGGAACGGATTGAAGACATCATAGACTCCCTAGACTTCCGCGACATCCAGCCACCTGAAAATGTGGCAGCCACGGTAGCAACGCTCGCCAGACTTCGATGCGCGGTATTCTCCCTGGGCGCCCGCAGGCCAAGCTGCAGGCCGTCGCCCATGGCTTGTGGGAGGGCCTCCAGATTATTGTACGCCAGACCACGACCTTGTCGCATGCATTGGGACTGACGCCACTCATGACTAGGCCTACATCTCCGGCAATGCCCTGATTCTTCTCGACCGGCCCAACCATGTTCTGCAGACGCTCTACATTGACGACGAATTTGAGCTCGAGGCAGTCGCAATAGACGAGGCCACAGGCAAGCTGGCCGTATGTTCGACGCGACACATTTATGTATACCGACCGTACGGGCAGGATGAGGGTGCTATAAAGGTGGGAACACGAGGCGACGGGTGTGGATGGCCGCTGATATTGTTTGCAGTGGTCGCTACAAGGCAGCATGGCATTGCCTGATGCCGACGACACCATCACGACGCTCTCATGGGGGATGCCTGATGAACTTCTCGCTGGCAGTGCTTCGCTGACCCTGTTCAACACCCATGGCGATATCGAGTATACGTGGTCCAAACAGTTGGCCAACCCCGTCAAGTTTGCCCACTTCTCGCCCGACGCCGAGCTGATAGCTTCAACCGGCCAGCACGACCGACTACTGAAGATATGGCGTCGCACAGCATTTGGCTCTGCGGATCAGAGATTCGATTACTTCTACCTCCCCCATCCCAAAGCAATCACCGGCTTGCACTGGCGGTATCCGCTTCAAAAGGAGCAATTGGCCGACAATGTGCTCTACACGATATGCGCCGACAACAAAGTGCGCGTATGGGTGCCTGGAGAACATCACGGAGTAGACGGCATGCACATGTGGGCTGAGGTGGACCTAATGGAGGCCATCATGGAGCGTCATATACCGCTGGACCGCCAGTCGAGCAAGCGGTACGCCTTCTTCATTGACGGCAAGCACTTCAAGCAAGCGACGGAAAGAGCAATGCAGCAGGCTTCGCCCCAGGAAAAGGACCACGGAATAGCCCTCCATCACCTAATCGAGGTCGCGAACCGCAGTCCCGAGATCTGCGTTGTGCTCGACGATCGTGGCAACATGTCAGCATGGGGGTTCGAAAACGTGGGCGCCCAGGGCAAGAAGGTTACTGACATCTTCAATATTGCCCACGTTGATGGACTGCGCATGCATTTCGCAAAGGATCCCAAACCCATGGAGGACAATGTGCAGTTCTATGCATTTATCGACGAAAAGCCCGAGTCTGAACTGACCGTATTATCGCATCACTTTGACGGCCGCATGGAGTGGCTGGAGGCGCGCATCGACTACTTGTTTGATCCTTCGCAGCAGCCACAGCGCATGCAGCGCAAGGCCATGTGGACAGGGCACTCGCATGCTATCAAGAAAGTCAATCGTACTGCCAGTGGAAAGGCCCTTGTGTCGCGTACCACTACCGATGAGTGCATAGTTTGGATACACCGACAGGGGGACGATGGCATGACGCTCCATCGTCACAGCAGTATCAACGTCACTGAGCACATCCACCGTACTGCACTTTTACAAGAGGGCAACTTCCTTGTCTTTCTGCATCACAAAGAAATCTCGCTATGGGATACACGTGGACACGAAGCTGTCGAAATTATGCGGCGTCCCTACGAGTTACGAGGGAAGCCTCTATGTCTTTTGGTCATTCCCGAAATTGACCATGATAGGAGGCGTGTTCACGTTGCCACAGTCAGCTCTGAGACGAAAGGTATATGCTGGGAAGTTACACTGCCAGTACTGGAAAGAGACCCGGCTACTGGAAGAAACTCATCCAACAGTACACATGCCAACGGGTACACAAATGGCCATGCGCCCGCTTCTCTCGAGCAATTCTCCACCTTTGACCTTGGCTGCGGCGACGATCTCGCTTTTGTATTGCCTGTTGACCCTGCAGGTTCGGCACCTGTCATCTCCGGTTTTCTTGATGCATTTGCGCGAGACACTGCCATTTCGTACACCAAGTCGGGAGTCATCAAGTCTTGGACTGCCCGTGTCAATCTTGAAAAGCGAGATCTTGAATGGCTGTTGATGTCTGAGGTGGACACTGGCGTACACAGCCCTTCGCTTGCTAGTGGAACTTCAATACGAAAAGCCGCGCTGGTGGACGCTGAACGGACCACACTGACCATCTGGAACACCCGTAGTGCGCAACTCGAGCATCAGGAGACTTTTGAAGGTAATGGCATCATCTCTGATCTCGATTGGTCATCCACTCCAGATAACCAGTCTATCCTCGCTGTCGGCTTCCCTCACCGTGTTGTCATTTACGCGCAACTGCGATACGACTATCTGAACGCAGGTCCATCCTGGGTAAAAATCGGTGACGTGCGAATTCGAGACATCACTCCCCATCCAATTGGTGACTCAGTATGGCTAGGGAGTGGCAATCTAGTCATAGGCGCAGGTAATCAGCTCTTCATGCAAGATGAGCATGTGGAAATAACCGACAGTCTTTTCCCCAGTTTACGAACTTTGTCACGCAAGACTGCACATATCGACATCTTTGAAGCTGTCAGTCGTCTCAATGGCCCGTTACCAGCATACCATCCTCAACTGCTATCGCAATGCGTGCTGGCTGGTAAGCTGCTATTAGTGCAGCGTATCTTGATATCTCTTTACAAGAAGCTCAAGTTCTGGATTGAGGGCGAGGAATTTGACAGCACACTGGGCTTCGCCCCAGAGGATTTCTCTGAGGACCAGGTATGTGTACTTTTGTATTCGATAGGATGATCACTAACATACGTAGACCCAAATGACTACATCCAAGAAAGACATACACTCGTCTTATATGGATTACTCAGATGATAGCGAACCAGAGGCTGTTACTGAAGAAGTCGCGTCAAATCTCAAGGAACTTTTGACTAAGAAGCAGATACCCTTGCTTTCAAGTCGCGAACAATTCCGTCTAGCTGATATCATCGAGTGTATTGGCATGGTGGAGAGGCATCGTCGTTCGGTTGATGACAACGCGGGTCGCTTCTTGCTCTTTTTCCGACAACACGTCCTCAGCCAGGTCCATAAAGGCCCCATTTCATGGCGTGAGATCGTCTGGGCATTTTATTCTGGAAGCCAAGACATCCTAGTGGACCTCGTCAGCAGGCATTTTAGCGGAAAGATGCTATGGCAACACGCTAAGGAATGCGGAGTGTTCATGTGGCTGTCGGATACGAACGCACTGCGCGCTCAATTCGAGGTCATTGCTCGGAATGAGTACACCAAGACTGAAGAAAAGAACCCAGTTGACTGCGCTTTGTACTACATGGCTCTGCGTAAGAAACCAGTCCTGGTTGGCCTATGGCGCATGGCAACTTGGTCAAGAGAACAAACCGCCACACATCGATTATTATCGAACAACTTTAATGAAGACCGCTGGAAGACTGCTGCGCTTAAGAATGCATATGCTCTCATGGGCAGAAGGAGATTCGAATATGCTGCTTCGTTCTTCCTGCTTGCAGATCGCCTCGACGTAGCTGTCAACGTGCTGCATACTCAGCTAGGAGATACGCAGCTTGCTATTGCCGTAGCGAGGGTTTATGGTGGTGATGAGTCTCCGGTGCTACTGGACTTCCTCAAGAACAAAATTCTACCCCAGGCTGCCCGAGAAGGAAACCGATGGCTTGCAATCTGGGCATACTGGCTACTCAACCGCAAGGATATGGCCGTGCGTGCGCTCGTCACGCCGCTTTCCGACCTCATCGACACATCCGAGAGTCCTGACCCACTTGCCAAATCCTACCTCACCGACGACCCTGCTCTTGTAGTACTATACAAGCAGCTTCGCGAAAAGAGCCTACAAACGCTCCGTGGTGCCACCATGATTGGTATGCGCGAGGAATGGGACTTTGTGCTGCACACCGCTGGACTGTACGACCGCATGGGCTGTGATGTTCTCGCACTCGATCTGGTCAAGACATGGGAATTCCTACTCCCTCCACCGCCATCAACGAAAAAGTCACAAGCTACCGGCGACCGCGTGCCATTGCTTAGTCCTACGATGCCACGGGAGAGCTCCGACACTCACGGACGCAACTCCAGCGCCGAAGATTTCGATTTTGATCCTAGGAAGCTGCTGCGTCGTCGCAGTTCATTGGTCGTGGCTGATTTACCGGTCAGAGAGCTCAAGAAAGGAGAAATTCAGGCGGCGCCACTTGAGGAGGAGGCAGATTCTGAGCAAGAAAAGGAGAAGAAGGAAGAGAAGAAGAAACCGCCACCTACGCAGTTTAATGAGCCGGATGCGAATAGTTTGTTGGATGCTTTTGGGTTTTAGGCAGCTCGGGTTTTGATAGCGTGAGTGAAAGGGGAATGTTAGGATATTAATACACGTCTTTTTATTCCTGGAGACCTCAGTGTGTTTGCAGTGTCGTGTTGAGTGTGCAGAGATTCCATTGGTCGTCACATCACTCACGGGTAGAAACTCTTCCATCTCAACTATCGCATTTTGATCAATCATGCCCCAAATACCGCCTTATTCTGTCTCACCCAGTCCTCAAGCCTCATCGGTGGCCGGCCCGTATAAACCTTCACATTCCTCACTCCATCCTCATAGTGGGGGAACCGCTCACCATTGCCCTTGTCCGGACCCTTGGTACCCAGCGTTTTCACCATGTACTCTGCAAAAGACGGAGGCATACCGCGCTCAACGTACTTCTGATACGCTTCCTCGGGACTCAGAGTCGTTATTTTCAAATCTTTCCCGAGAACGCCTCCGATTCTTGCGACGCTATCTCGTATCGAGCGCACCTCGGGACCATAAAGATATACGATTTTCTGGTCTTTCGAACCAGAAACAATGATGTTGCCTATGACGTTGCCGATGTCGCTCGGGATGATGTTATCTTGTTCGAACTCTCCGCCGTACAATTTGACGTCGTTTGCGAGGATGCCGTCTCGTGCTGATAATAGATTTGTGGCGAAACATCCGGGACGCACAGCGACGTAGTTCTCTGGACCGAGGAGTTCTTCTAGGCTTGCTTCTACTTGGGCGTGGACGAATGGGAGGAGGTCGGATGGGGAGATGGTGCGGAGGGCTTGGTTGGTGTAGATTGTGAAACTGCTGAGGAAAACGATGAATTCGACGCCTTCGTTTTTCATTGCGATAATGGCGTCGTGGAGGTGTTTATATTCATGATGGACGAGGTAGATGAACGCGCGTTTGGCTCCGGAGGTCCTGATGGCCTGGCTGACGGTCGGGGGTTTGGTAAGGTCGGCTTGGATCCGATGAAAGTTGCCAGCGGATTTTTTGGTGAGACCAGGGATGGCTTTTAATGTATCTCGCATTGCCAACCAGACTCTGGCTCCAAGGTCTCCGGCTGTTCGTGCGGCAGCAGATCCGACTTGACCAGTCGGCCCGAAGATGATGACGGATGTCATGGTGGTGACTGTGATGGGTTTCTTTGTTGGTGAAAACGGGTAGTTGCTACGTTGGTTTGTTGAGTTGTGTTGTTGTTTCCCATGTTTTTGTAGCTCAGGCTAGCACCCGATACTTTCGTAAGGGACTGAAGGACCAATGTAGTATTCATTCTAGAGATACTATTGGATATTTCGGAATGCCATGGTAGCTGGCCGGCACTATGATCCTGTAGATACTCCGAACTCCACGCACGTATTACATCTATGGTGCATTGGATCGCATGGCGATTCCTTTTGTCTACCTAACTTTATTCTTGTCCTTTCCTCGAACTTCAGAATCTTTCTACTTCGTTCCGTACAAGACAGTAGTTCCGTAAGTACATATATTGTTAGCGCAACTGATGAATAAAAAAGGTATCTGTTGGTTATTGTGAAACAAGACGTCTATCACATGGCACAAGATCCGAACAAAAACAAGGCTTCATGGATCACGTGCCATATAGCACCCTCATTCCGTAGGTCCCAGCGCCGGTCAAAAGAGAGGGCGGAGTGGGTAACAACGCGGCGAGATACATCGATCCCACAACCAATGGAGCCAGAAACTACAGTGTCGTTATCCATTCCTATACATCCGCCATGGTTAATACTTCAATTGCCTTGAGGTTGGATATACCCCGAAAAGGATGCATCTCCCGTGGCTTCACCAAGCAGAGGCATCTCATCGCAGACGAGGAGGTCTCTCCTCCGGCGCAGTGTAACGTTCACTTCAGCGAATGATATTTCCTGAGCTTATAGAACAGTGGTATCGTCAGCTTATCAATAAACGTGCACATGCTTCACCTATGATAGGCCTGTGCCAGGCCCTGCAAAGGGTTAGCCTCCAGGTTTCCGACCACCATCACTTGTGGGATCAGACGATGCTATCATGATAAACAGTAAACTTCGGACCGATACAGCATTCTACATATACGCATGCATTGAATTGTGCTTGGCGTGTCAAGGCCCAGCTTCCTTTCGCGTCATGAAGGATGCAGGGTAAGCGCTGCTCCGCGGAGGGCTAGGAACATACTGACCAGATAGCTTTTATCGTTTTCTAGTACTAAGATGATCGTGAGACATTTAGAAACATGTAAAGACATTTGAAAAGGATTCTGGAATGTCATTCAGGCATACATGCAGTCATCCGACACACTTTATGCCAATTCGCACTCAATCAAGCTCTCCTGTGAATGCTTGACACTCCATACCTTCACAATCTTCAGATCGAGTCCAGGCGACTCTAATAATCGTTTCCACTCTTCCATTGTGCGCTCCTTGGAGGAAAAAAGTGTCATCATCATCATGTCCAGTCCCGTGGCCTCGGAGTCTGCTCCCTGGTCTGGGATGATGATTTCGTTGATCAGGAGTTTGCTGTATCCTTGCTTCATAGCACCGGTAACCTGCTCCAAGATACTCTTGCATACGTCGTCGGGCCAGTCGTGGAGCACTGAATGTAGGTAGTATGCTCGAGCCGCTGTTGATGTTAGTCCCTTTTCACAGTGGCGGGTTTAAGTTTTCAGACTGACCTTTGATGGGTTGCTCAGTGTGGAAATCGTATTTCATACGCTCGACATCGTGATGTAGATTCTCGATGCTATCAATGACAGGGGGAAGGTCTTGCAATACGAGCCGACCAGGTGCATCAGGATGTTTTAGTCTAGACATTTTGTAAGCATGCATTTGGTGATTAGGTTCCTACGACCGTACCTAAACTCTTCGATATCATGACCATGGCCTCCTCCAACATCTACCAGCATCACTGCATCCTTAGACGCCTCCATTCCCTTTACGAGCCTTTCTTTCACTGGGTAAAAGTCACGGTCCATCCAACTTGGTCGACCTTGCCGATATCCACTCATGTGATGATTGAACTGTTGGCCCAATGGCGGGTGAGCAATCATGTATTCAAACATGCTCATTTTAGTATTGAATGCAAATTGGTATGGTCCAGATTCGATATCTGAGGTGAGTTCGTAGTTACTTCCCTTGAGGTACTCTGGGAACTTGCTGCAGGATGGATGGGCTCCACCAGCACTAATTAGGTCAGTCTTACAATCAAATGTGTTAGCAATGAGTCGGATTTTAGCACCTACAGGCAAGGGTAACCATCTCCGATGATGGGTATGTCCAGCGCTTTGGAGAAGTTTGTCGGTGCATACTCATCAGTTCCTGTTTCCTTGATGTAGCCCATAGCTGCGATGTGTTTCATCATGCGAGCTGCAGACATTAGAGGCTTTCTGTGAAGATATGCGGGCATGTAGGCTTACCTAATGTTTGGCGAGGAATTCCGAGCTCGGCCGCAATCTCATCGACCTTTGTTGGTCTGTCTTTCTCGGCAAGTACTTTGAACACACCTGCATTGTAACAAGCCGTAATAGCCGTATGACAGCCCGGCTACAAGAACCTTAGATATATTCAGTCCTAGAATCCTGATACACATACCTGCACCCAGTTGTGTTTGATCATTGTTTCCCGGGGAGTCTCCAAAGCCACTACCAGACTCCTAGCCAACGCGAGCATATCCAGACGACCGTCGTTGCCTTCAGTAATTGATGATTTTCTAAACATTAGGAGCTTCTCTAGTATCTTTGGAACGGCTCCTGGATCATTGGCACGTACGGCAATGCCGCCATCGAGTAGAGGTACGGTCATGTTTAATGATGGGCTCGGTGAAGAAGTGCCTGAGCGAACAGGGATTACGATATGGTTCAAATGAACTCTATTTGAACTATAGAGCAAAAATATCTTTGGGACAATGGATTAAAACGGACAACCGTGACTTTAAAACCACTTTCCATAAGTGATCTTGACTCGTTGTGTACCATGAGGCACATCAGCACTAGTCATACCTTTGACATCTCCCGAACTACGAGCCTGTATGATCATGCAGGCTCAATCTATTCCATAGAGTAAGATTCTCCTCAAATTGGAAGGAATTGACGGAATCAAGGGCTCGGGGTGTCTCCGCACCTAACTTAACCGGCTAGACCCTTGATTGATTGAAGTCCGCAACACGAACCATAGCATTGGGAATGAAGGAGCGCTAAAGTGTCGCCTCGCAAACGAGCATAATGCAAGAGCGGCTGTACGGTAACATTTCGACTGGTCCGCTGTGCCGCATTTAGTAGCGCGATGTTGGGGGCAACTTTACTAGCATGACAGTTGGTTTAGGGATGACTCGAGTGCATCTTCATACGTGTGGTTGTGAACTGGTATCGTGGACTGCCTCAAGATAGTTTTTATTCGGCATCAAACTATTTGCACTGATTGAAACATCATGAGCATGCGCGCTGACATTGTGATAACTTGGTGCTGAATTATCCCCAACAAGCGAGGAGGATTCCGCCCTCCTTTACACTACATGCCCCGTACATCAACAGCGAACAAAAAGGACTGATCTACACCCAGAAATTAAAGAATTAGTTTACATATGCACTCGGGCTTGGCCGGCATGTGTTATGCAAGGGGTGTTACTACTACCATTCGGTGTTGGCACGCATTGATTGCGCGGACTTGCATTTTCTATTGCGGCGCGGTAGCGATCCGCTGCAGCAAATTTCCGTTAGGCAGAATGCCCATCGAAGAACGCGGGACAGTTGGGAAAAGATGCAACAAGCTGGAATTAGACGCTCAGACTGGATCTACAACGTTGTTGTTGGCTTGGGCAATGTATAAGACATGTCTATGTTCATCGGCTTGCTGCAGAGGCACTCAATCTTCCCCGGAAATACATGACAATTGTCTAGTCTTCTCGCAGGACTTGATTGTGATATGTCAGGACCAAAAGTGTTGCCTGAACATCTCGTCAACGAAGACAAGGGGCCTACGATCTTAGCGGTATGCATCTCACTGACTGCTCTGGCCACCCTTTTTGTGGCTGCAAGACTTTATGTCCGAGGCAAAATACAGTCACAAATTGGCCTAGATGACTGGCTGATGATTTTATCCATGGCAAGTATTTTCTCCAGGGCTCTTCCCACCTCGCAAGATACTGACGCATTGAGCAGATATGTGGCTACGTCATGCTTGGCCTAACGATAGCCGCCGTACGGGCCGGCAATGGTCGTCATTTCGCTACGCTCACCACCGAGCAGAAATCAGATGCCATACTATACACTATTGCGGGATTTTGCCCAGGGATACTTTCATTTGGGATCCCCAAGCTAGCCGTGGTAGCACTTCTAACGAGAATCATGAACCCCAGCCGAGGTCACGCGGTGTTCCTTTGGTCAATGACTGGCGGTTGCTTGCTGATTCTGCTTGGTTGTGTTGTCATTCTCTTCGCGCAGTGTACTCCAACACGATCGCAGTGGGACTTCACAGTTAAAGGCACTTGCTGGAGCCCATGGGTTTTGGTATACTATGCCATTGTTGCTGGCAGTACGTCACCCATGTGAAATGGGGAACTCGACTCATTTTGACAGCTCTATCCGCCATTGTGGATCTTTATCTTGCGATATATCCGGCTTTTGTTCTCTACAGGCTACAGATGAACGTAAAAAAGAAGATCGCTCTCAGCTTTGCGCTTGGGTTAGGCTCCATGTAAGTCTGCAAACGCTCGTTGGAAGATGACTTCTCATTTGTAAATAGAGCTGCAGCCGTTGCGGTTTACAAGTCGACTCGGCTACCTGCACTTGCCAGCGCTGACTTCAGTTGTAAGTGAAAATTTGTTTCAAAGCTACGAGTATATGCTGACCGATTGTATAGACGACACTGCCGACATCACAATCTGGACCAGCATTGAAGGAAATGCAATCATCATCGCCGCATGCATTCCAACTCTCCAGCCACTAATCGATCGCATCTTCGGTTACGGTTTATTTGGCAGCACAAGAGGGGAGCGAGGACGAAGCGGTTATGCATCACATGGCCAACATGCCACGAAGCTGGTCACAATTGGAAGCAAAACATTTCGGTCATCCAGGAGACACAAGAAGACGGGGATTTCAGATACGACGATAGGTCAGGAGAGCCAAGAGAGTATTCTGAGCTTCAACCGTCGGCATGTTAATCATCGTAGTAAGGGAGAAGAAGACTTAGTCATAACACGGACACAGGAGGTGTCAGTTCAGGTGGAATCTATAAGTAATCATTAGTGAAAAGAGACACATGTTACGCATGTTTGGTGCACAGTCGGGCCCTGTTCAGTTGATACCACGTTTATTGATGAGCTTTTGATGAAAGAGGACGTGTCTTATTGTTCCAATTTGATATATCTGCTTTAAGGCTAGCTTAGTGGCTTTACGTAAATTTATCATGGCCTATCAAATCTGGGTCAGGCAACCTCCGTACCACTATATGCGAGGACCTAGGTCAAATATATTCTTTACCCATTGCTATCTGCAATCGGCTCACCATCATACCTTTTGCTTCGCCACCATCAACCATGTGTGCTCTCAATGTACACACGCTCCACGAAGACATACTCTACGAATTGCTAATCAGGTGCCGAGATCTGATATCTCTAAAGCGTCTGATCCTCACCCACCCCGAAATTTACCACGCATTCAGCAACCGCCGAAGCCTGGTTCTCAGAGCGGTCTTCAAGACACAGAGCATTGTCCGCACCAGATACTGTGACGATGAACTCTTTCTGGTGAGAGCCGATAGATACCTTTCCCGCATGCTACCTTGCAGTGTAATTGACCGGGTCGCCCTGCGCGAGGCCCTCTGGCCTACGGTCAAGCAGTTATTGCCATCCATGATATCCTGCCAGTGGGCTATAGCCCTTCTCACTCGCTATCATGAAGCAGGGCTCAAGCACAACCAACTCATGTTCGTCAAAGAAGCCGCACACACCATATTATCCGCATCGATGCCTCTGCATTTTGAACAGCGCACACTCCTCAGAGTCATCGCCCGAACATACGCGTCTTCAGACACGCCAGAGGAAGCAATAGAACTAGATGCAGCCATTATACAACGTCTCGATCCACAATTGCAGGCTCATAGAATCTGGATAGAAGACTTCATGCAGACGTATCGAAACAACAGAAACAATAAAAAAGGGTTGGACCTCCAGCTGAAGTGCTGGCAGCTCTGCCGAGATACACTCGGACTAGGGAGCAAGGTTGCCCTGGACTGCGCACAAAGCCTTATCTGCAGCTATCACCTCAGCGGCGAGCCTAAGAAGGCGATTGAATTATGCCGGTTTTTTCAGGGTTCTATCAGCCCAAAAACCCCAGGGTATACCGCTTGGATGCGAAAATTGATAGATATGCTCTACAAGGCTAGCCAGGATAGCGAGACACGAGAGAAGCAGAGTACGAGCTAGTAAGGGCATGTCGCCAGTATGAGCGGGGACGTCTGGTGAAGAGTAAGAATTAAAAGACCATTGGCCTTATTGTCTTACTCAAAGAGGCGCGAATGGCGTGTGAGGCGGATCGTAGCAGGGCTCTTTTCGCAACTACGTATGCAATACATGTAGCAAAAGGAAGAACCATTTTATTCATTCATTGTTTCTTAACTCGAGAAACCGAGTCCTTTCGAAAACATAAATGTGTTTGTGAAATCGTTATTCCAAACTCTCGCTTCTCCATGTGGGATAGAATATATTATTTCATTCCAAATATATCTGGTATCATAAAGCACTGTCATCTCGCTCGTGAGCATGTCCAAACGCGTACGACTTTCAAACACTCCTCCCTCAGTACCGGTTCTCCCACCTCGTATACCGACTCAGCTTCTTTGAGTCCCTCGCTTCGCTCTGTATATCCACTGTGTATCCCACTCACCCCCACATATCCATGACCTAACTCCACCCCACTAAAAGTCATTAGGCCAACACTTCTCCTTGGGCCAAGCAACCGAATCATGACTCGCCGCATGCGCCTCCAGCTGCGCCTTATTCGTGTTTACGATTTCGCGACGGCAATTCTGGCACTGTAGTATTCCCCGCACGGGCGCGGGCGTGCCCGTTAGCTGACTATGCAGCAAAAGGATTGCTTATGTGAGGTGTGGGAATGTTTGGAAGACAGAGACTAGGTTCAGGGAAGAGGAGAAGGCATTGGAATGCCTACAATGGAGGTTGGCTTGGGAGCCTTGACGGGGAGGCCGTTGGCCTTGACGGGGGCGCGGGTGCCTGCTTTTTCGGCTTTGCGGTGTTCGCGTTGGATCTGTGCAGGCGGGTGTTAGTGAATGTTTTGATTTGGCTGATGGCAGGGGGTTGGCGTACTCGGTCTTTCTTGGAGATGGGCATTGTGGTGGTTGTGTATAAAGGTTTGGGTAGGGTGGAAGAAAAAAAATGGAGTTGTAGTTGTCGGCGCTTGCACGGAGCGGGTAGATTGAGAAAGAAGGGTCTCTCGCTAAGCTAGCGGCTGCATGTGAAAGTTAGTAGGCTCCACCGATTGGCAGCCCCGCATGGACCCGCATCGTGGCCGCGATATAATTCTATGCCACAGCTATATAATGTCAGCCTTACGTACGCTACTGCGCAGGCGAGCTGCGCCTCCTCCCCCAACGTTTAGCTTGCTGCACTCCAAAGCCTCTGGATGCCGTACCTCTTCACCTTTGACTTAGAAAGCCATCACCCGGCGTTCACAATAGATCTAAGAGCCACCATCTCTCTGCATTGCGTGGGTAGGCCTCTAGCTGCCATCCATTTTCTCAGCCTGCTTTGAAGCTCCGACACCTGCCTCTACCGCTCGCACATATACACACACATGCAGCTTGATGCGGCTGCTATATAGTAGCGACCGGGGGTTTACATTGACTGAAGACTTAGTTGGAGAACATATCCCCTATTATGCGATCCTGTCGCATACCTGGCAAGAGCAGGAGGTGACACTTGCCGATCTGAAAGGTTCACGTCATGGCGGAAGACACAAGGAAGGGTATAGGAAGCTTGTATTCTGCGCCAAACAGGCTGCGCTGGACGGCCTTGAATACTTCTGGGTCGACACCTGTTGCATTGACAGGTCTGATTCGGTCACGCTTGAAGATGCTATCAACTCTTTGTCTTCCTATTATCAGAATGCAGCAAAATGCTACGTCTATCTATCTGATGTCTCCACCGAGGGGTGGTCAGAAATCAGCGAAGAATCTGATTGTAAGTGGCAGCTAGCTTTTCAGCAAAGCAGATGGTTCGCCCGGAGTTGGACCCTTCAGGAGCTTCTTACCTCTCGTTCAGCCGAGTTCTTCTCCCGTGAAGGCCAAAAGCTTGGTGATAAGAACACACTTCGGCAAACTCTCCATGAGATAACTGGAATCGCCACCCAAGCCCTTGAAGGAAGACCTTTGGCTCATTTCAGTGTAAGAGAACGGTTATCGTGGGCAGCAAACCGCAGAGCAACACTGGAAGAAGACCAGGTGTACTCGCTTCTGGGCATTTTCGGCATCAAAATGACGATGATGTATGGAGAAGGCAGTTGGAACGCATGTCTTCGCTTTTGGGATGAGATTTTTCGGAGAATCGAGGATTACACGATTCTGCTTTGTACAAGGCCCGTGGTCTGGGACCCACTAGCTCTGCACCCGACCTTGTTATCAGGAAGCATCAATGACACTTCGGAAAAGCTGGAATGGCATAGCCTGAAACGCCATTCTCTCTTAGACCTTGCCTCCACAGAGGCCCTCACGGATCGTCTTCCGCCCAGCATAAACGTTTTACAACGTCCAGAGATAACCACCCATGGACTCAGAATGTGCCTTTTTGTTAAGAATTTGGGTCTAGATCTCATTTGTTGGACATACTGTACTCAGGAATGGCATGGAAAAATGTATGCAGTGTGCACCCGAGTGGTTTCAATCGGCTCAGAAAAGCTTGCAGAGGCGCCACACTTAAAGGGATATGCGAGTGGAGAAGTATATCATGTTGATGTTAACCGTCTCAAAGGCTTTGAGCAGAAAACCATCTATCTTGTAATGAAGGAGCAGCGATAGAGCTACTCGAGCCGAATATGGATTAAGTACGACATACATTGTAATGAAAGGGTCAAAGGACGTCTTAATGTGACACCAGATGTTCATTGATTTTTATAGAGCTTCAGTAAAGAGTTAATAAACGTAGTCGAGTATTACATAGTTGCAGCTTCCAGATCTTCGACGTTCAAGCTAAGATAAGCGCCTCCCTTTGCAACGAGCTCGTCTGAGGCCAGAGATACCCTTATCCTCTTTCTCCTTGATTCATCATAAAGATGCGAAAGATACAATCCTAGTGTTTTCCGAGGCTGTGTGAATGCTTTATAGTTGTATTCATAAAGATTGTGATATCTTGGCCGAATGCTCCGCCAGTCGTCGCCACGTACCAAGTCAAACCGCCAAGATGGGTCTCTTGTCCGATCGAAACGGCATACAAGAACAAAGGAATCAAATTCATCAGCCCATTCAGGCTTAAAATGCAAGAAACCCAGAAACACGCCGGTATGCCCTGCAAACAACATTTTCCGAAATGGGTCCCAGCAACCAATAGGCTCGATCTCCGAAAGTCCGATACTCGGATGGTCCAGACGTACCGGCTTGGTAATTAAAAGTACGTGCTCACGAATAGAAGTGACTTCTTCCGCTGAAAGTGTGGTGGCGACTTGAAGAGATTTGATAGATCTACGACGCTGAATAGTCGCTAGGCGATTGGGAAAGGCTCGTACGTATAGACTAGGCCCAACCTGTCGTAGAAACACTCCAAGAGAATAAAGGTCATTGCTGTATGTACCGTGTCTATGGTTGATAGGAAGCATGTGGCAGCCTGTGATTGGATCTATTGCCAGTGGGACTTCGAACTTTAGTCCTCTATTTGTGACAGAGAATTCACAAATATCGAAGACAGTGTCCTGCGAAACCACCAAGGATCCAGTATCTTCAAAGTCGACTGGCGATGATGCAAGCAGACCACTATGTTGGTCACCCTCGACTGTCGTGTTTCTTTGTGTCCATCCAAAAACAGACATATCAGGACTGTTTCTAATGATTTCCTTTTGCAGTCTGATAAATGCATTTTCTCCCTCTCCGTAAAGCATAGGCATATTGATTCCAAGTATCCCAAGCAAACTGTATGCGCGGTCTTCTTCTCGCTTTGTCTCTCTTCTAGCGGCCCATGACATCCGCACAGCTACTGGCACCTCTGCAAGAGATATGGCATTGGTCAAAACATCTGGATCAACTTGAGTAATGGACGCTAGTTCTGAACGTAGGCTGAGCTTATCGCCTCGAAAATTCCACTCCTCATCATAAAATCGAACGTTGGATGGCGCAATCAGCTCCTGCAGTGTCCAACCGCGTCGGAACCATTTACAACCCCAGAGCGAATGTTTTTCGGGTTCCAAATCGCTGAAAAATACGTAGCAAATATCAGAAGCTCGATACCATTTAAACATCGAATTGATGGCCTCGGTGAGTTCTGCGCTGCTTGATTTGTCGATACAACATGTGTCGAGCCAGAAGTACTCCAGGCCATCCCGTGCGGCTTGTTCCCCACAAAAGAGAATCTTCTTATAGCCCAACTTATCCTTCCCAGTGCCATTTAGCAGGTCTCCAAAAGTAACCTCCTCCACATCTGCTCCCCACGTATGCGAAAGTATCGCATAATGAGGGATGTCCTTTTCGGAAAACTGAGTAAGAGTGATGACGCCAGTATCGCTGCGTCGCAAAAGTCGCATGATTTCGTATGCGCTGGACGGGTGCGGGGAGCAAGGATGGGGTTTCGCGGGCTCAATAGTAGCGGCAGCCTACTAGCGAAGAAAGCTAGCAGGGCGACACGCTTACTTGGTCGGAATACCAGTCCTACCTATCAGGGTTAGTCATTGTGTAGAGAAAACAACGAAGCTCTTTGTGATGTACTCACGTGTACAAGCGTAAAACGGGAAGCCGACGGTGCTTTTCCCTGCTGAAGTAAGGGTCGAGGCGGGGGGTGCTGCGAGAGAGCTCTTAATAGAACGCAGCAAGGCTAGCCGAAGACGATCCTACAAGGCCTGAGCCGCTTATCCAGTCATGCCATCTCTGTCTACATTGTTCATCAAACCCCAGTTATTTTAAATCGTGTTTCCCGAGTGATAAGATCTATGAAATTCTCATGTTAATTATGGGTTATACAGTAATCACTACGCTCTATTGAAGATTTCAAAAGGTAGATAATTAGCTACGGGTGGATCTCAAACCACTTCTCTTGCGAACACGCCGCTATATCATTGTCAGCCCACACATATGTTATGATCTTGAAGCTATTCTCCTTTTGGATACTGCGATGTTCAAGAAGCATCAACAAATTTGTGTCATAATAGGGTCTTTGTGGTCCAAGACTTCCATACCCATACTGCTTGACAAGCTGGCTTGACTCGGCTTGCAAGCCAGCTTCCTTGTTGACAAGGCTGCGAAAAAGTATGGTTGGAGTTAACCGGGCGCATAGAAGCTTGTAGGTGGCCCTAAATAGCTTTCTCGCACACCTCCCAAATCAATAACGATTTTTTCCAGTGCCATATTCTCACCCTGAAGCAAAATCTTTAAAGTGTGCGTACCAGCATCACCAAGATTTACCTGGTGTTTTTTTATCCAAACACAATCCATGACCGATTCCAACCATCCAGCTGGTAGCTCCCCCGCCTTCTTGGGCTGTTGTACCAGCCTGTGCATTCCAACTTCTTTACCGTCAAACGAGAGGCCGTAAAGAGCTGGTGAAGTTGGGTTTACATCAAGCGTCAACGTAAAGTATAAGTATAAAGACGCCTGAGTAGTTGACGTGAATATGTAGAAAGGGTACAGTAGCTCACAGCTCTGCAAGCCCGAATTAGGTTGCATGCGAAAGCTTACAGCCCCACTCGCTTCCCGGCCAAGGTATGGGTGCCTCCAACAACCGATAGCATCCTTGTTTGCGAAACGAGTAGCTCGAATGGAGATGAGTTGATCAGCCTCAACATGTCCAACGAACCGAGGTGGTATGCTACGGTACTTCACTGGAACGTGAATATGTTCGTAATCCCCAAGATCGCTGTGTAGAACCAATAAGACCTCATCGTCAAAGTCCTTAGGTACAAGTCTCCAGTCCACCATCACCTGGATCAACTGATCTTGTCCTTCGGATGTGGGGTCCAGGATCCCACTAGCGTTCACCGGCATCCAACCTACCGGACTTTCAACCTTCCAGGTGAGTTTCTTCGGACTACGCAAGTACAACTCGAAAGTCCTGGACTGCGGGCCATATGGGTTCATCACCGGTAGCGTAACACCAGATATGAGGTCTCTTCGCGAAGGATGCGTGCGGTCGCTCTCCTCATTGCACAACCCGGGTCGCACGCCCTCAGTACCCTGGACACCAACACCAATGTTTCCGACGATGGGGTTTGATTCTTGACTTGCTTGTACGAGACACAGCCCACTTATCATGTCCCGTGAAGGCGCATGCCAAGTCTCGCGGTATCCGAGGTGAGGCTGCCGCATGATATGATTCCACTTTCCATTGAGCATCGCGTGATACTCTTGAGACAGCTGGAAGTCGTCTTTGAAGAGGGAAATTGATTGGTTGAAGAAATGATTGGCTGAATTGCGACGTTGTTTTGCGTAGAGTGCGTTCTTTGCGCGACAGATTTGGAGTGCCATGTAGGTATGTGATGCTTTGATGGGGTGTAGAATGAGTTGGAAGAAAGAAGGCCTGGCAGCTGTATGTAATCCGGTATATAGAGCTTCGGTGTCATCGACAAGCGTCCTCCAGCTTGACAGGATATTGTCTGCCTCCGAATAGTTGATGAGCGAGAATGTCTCTGGTTCAACATGTTCGTGTTTTCGCAGCGCAACCAGTCTGTCGTACCTAAGTAAGAGTTTTGCAGTTTGCACCGCTAGCTCGCTGCCAAAAGTACGAGAAGTGAATGATTCGAAGAAAGCTGCAAGGTCGCCCAAAGTCATAGCGTGCATGTCCCACGCCAACGACATGACAAAGCTCAGTGGTACTTCAAGAGGTTTTATGTCCCCGACGTTGAAAACCCAGATCTGGTCCGCACCATGGCGATGTGCTTGGTCGAGTTGGTGCCAAACCTTGGCAAGAGAATTGCTGTTCAGCCATTTATAACTTCGCGGTTCTCCAACGTACTCGAGATGATAGTACACCCCTGCACCGCCTCTTCGCGTTCTCTCTGCTTCGGTTGGGAGCCTTCGAATCGTGCCGAAATTATCGTCGGCAAAGAGAAGTGTCACATCTTCTGGAATTTCGAGTCCATTCTCATAATACTCCTGCACTTCCTTATACAGAGCCATGACTTGAGGTATTGCGTCTTCTCTGCCATACACATCGCTGATGATGTTTCTTTGCGTCGATAAGACCTCTTTCAAGACTTCTTGCGGGTTTTCAACTCCCATCTCTCGGTCGCCATCACCTCGCATGCCGATCGTGATCACGCTTTCATAATTAGATGCTCGTTGTGCTCCTTCAACAAAATACTTGGTGATCTTCTCCTTGTTCTTTATCCAATTCCAACTCTGCTCTGGTTCATTGTACGGCACATCGAACCACTCATTCATCGCACGCTGCATTGGCTCATGATGCGAGGTAGACACTACGATTCCATACTTGTCGGCAAGCTCCTGGTTTAGGGGATCGTCCATGAAGAAAGAATTCCCTGGATGTGGGTAACCGAACCACATCGCCGGCCAGAGGAAGTTTGCTTTTAGTCGGAGCAGCAGTTCAAAAACGCGCTTGTAGAACTCAGAATTGTACTTTGGTCCATACTTCTCGTGTACCCATGCTGATAGGGCCGGCGCCTCATCGTTGATGAAGATACCGCGGTACTTGACCGACGGTGGTCCTTGCACAGTTCTGACGTCTAGTGCGTAGAGAACCGAGCTCTTTCCCACTGGTACATCTGCCCACCAATACCAACTAAAGTCCCTTAGCAATGGCTACGTATGTTGAGTAACTCATCCCACTTACGGCGAAACACCAATCTGCTCAGACAAGGAATAGATACCGAAAATAGTGCCTCGCTTGTCACTCCCGCAGATCACAAGAGCATTCGCGCATCCTTCCCATGGCGTACGTACAAGTGCTGTACACCAAGTCTCCCATTTGTTTTCAACAATGGTGATCTCGATGCACCCACTCAAGGCTAAGCGCTGGATGTGTCTAGACCTCTGGGCGCTGCCAACGATGATAACGCATGGCGATAGGCTCTGCTCTGAGGTGATGGTAGGCGCTTCCTCACCAGTCACTCTCGCAATGTCTTGAGCGAGCGTTGTGGCTGCGATACGAATGCCCTCGAAGTCTTCATGGTCAATAATAATGGGTGCGTTGGCCAACGATATCGCGCCGGCCGCTGGTTTGTGTGCCACGAAACCAGCCTGGTGCATGGTGCCTTAATTCACTGCTAGATACTGGGAGATCGGAAGCGTCGTTAAAAAATACGGAGACCGCACAGAGTCTGGTGTACAACAGGCGGCTGTAAGATCATGAGAAACCCTTCGCATAAAAAAGAAAAGCCTCCAGTGTTGGTGATCAGGATGATAGTTTTCGTGTCGCAAGACTCTGCTTCCTAACGGGTTTCTCGCCTGCTCACGTGCACAGCTTTGAAAGAGTATAAAGTTCCGCTCCAATATAATACCCAAATCTGGCAACCCGTTGGAAAAAATAACCGGGGCTGCGAAATGGACCACAGCGCGCTCGAATCAGTACTACCGATTACCAAGAACTTTAAACATTCGTATTTTACGGGCCTAAAATCCACAACGTCAGGACGCCTGGTGGGAAAAACTCAAGGTTTGTTGGCGGTATCTAAGAGGATAAAATTAGGTTTTAGAATAAAACCTAGAATTAGAAAAAAGGCCATGTTATCGAGACGAGGTGCAAACCATTTCGCATTCGCGGTTATTCCTTCAACCGGGTGGCTGGTTCGCGGTAAAACCGGCCGAGATGTCTCGGCGGCGATAGTTTCCCTGCTTCCCCACCCAACTGCCACCCCTACCTCATCCCCCCGGATTTCATCCCCCGCAGTTCTAGCCTAGCGGCACGACCCCAAGACGGCAAGAAGCCCGGCTGGGCGTAATCATGTGGCCATGTTTCTCGATTGATTCATGGAAATTTGGTCTTGTCGTGGCTGAAGGGATAATGTACAAATGTCCCTAGTACTCCCACCCATTGCACATCTCAACCCTCCCCCTCCCAACTCTCTTCCTTACCAGCATTGACTGGTGAAGGTCGTTAGCTGGCGATCATTTATCTCTTCCGACCATTTTACAATGGCTATATCGCAGGTCTCTGCTCAGACGGCGGCCATGCCACGGCAAAGTTCAGCCGAGGACCGGGATCCATCAACGCAGCAGCAGCTTGTCGAGGCCGCTGTTGCCAGCTCTGAATCCGAGATTAAGCTGCCGCGTATGGAGCTCTTCAAGCGCTATCGACCTGCCGTCATTTACTCTGCGCTTTTATCTATGGCTCTTATCATGGAGGGCATGGATGTCGGTCTCATCAACAACTTTTTCGCCCATCCGGCCTACCGTCGAAGGTTCGGCAACGATTTCAATGTGAAGGGTGAACTGGTTATTTCTACCCAATGGCAGACTATCATCGGTGCTGGTAACAACATTGGCTCCATTATCGGTCTCCTGATCAACGGTTGGCTCCAATCTCGCTACGGTTCTCGCAGGGTATACTTAGTGAGTCTCCGTGACAACACGATTTGGAAAAACGCTACTTACACGCTCGTCTAGGGTGCAATGGTGCTCATGGCAGGCACTATCTTCATTCTTTTTTTCGCGCAAAATGTCGAGATGCTTCTTGTCGGCAACATCATGTGTGGTATCCCGTGGGGTATCTTCCAGACCCTTACTACCGCCTACGCCGCCGAAATTAGCCCCACCGCGATGCGTGGCTACCTGACCGCGTGGGTCTCTATGTGCTGGGGTGCTGGCTCCTTCTTAGCCGCTGGAGTGCTCAAGGGCACTATCGACATTCAGGGCAACGCTGGCTGGCAGATCCCCTACGGTCTCCAGTGGATGTGGATCCCCCCTCTATTTCTCGTTGCCTGGTTCGCGCCCGAGTCTCCCTGGTATCTCATCCGCCGCGGCAAGATTGATGAGGCTGAGAAGAGCCTGCGCCGCTTAGCTCGCCCAGGGCACTACACTGAGCAGTCAATGCGCGAGACCTTAGCCCTCATGCAGCATACCAACGAAATGGAGAAGGTAGATGCCCAGAATGCTAGTTATGCTGACTGCTTTCGCGGCGAGAACAGGCGACGCACGGCAATCGTCAGTATGGCCTGGATTATTCAGATCTTCAACGGCCAGTCCATAACCAACTTTGCCGCAACAATGCTCCGTGCCATCGGTATGAGCGCTTCCAATGCCTTCAGCTATACCATGGGTATTCAGTCAGTTAATATTTTCGCCACGGGTATCGCCATTGCTCTTATGGGTTCAGTCGGCCGTCGCACATTCTACCTTTACGGCTCAGCCTCTATCGGCTTCTTCATGCTTATCGTTGGTATCCTGGGCTTTGCCATAAAATCAGCCTCTGACGTTGCTATCCCTGTTGCCGTCTTTCTCATCTTTGTCCAAATTGCTTTCAAGATCTCTCTCGGCCCGACGACCTACGTTATTGCTGGCGAGATACCCTCGTCTCGAGTTCGTGCCCAGACTATCGTCATTGGGCGCTCCCTCTACGTCTGTGGCCAGGTTGTCGTACAGCAACTCAACCCCCGCATGCTCAATGATGACCCTACCGCATGGAACTGGGGTGCAAAAACTGGCATGTTCTATTTCGGCTTTTGCCTGCTCTGGGTAATCTGGATCTTCTTCTTCCTTCCTGAGACCAAGGATCGAAGCTTTGCCGAGATCGATTACCTTTTCGCGAAGAAGACGCCTGCCCGCAAGTTCCGCAATGCGCCAGTCGACTGTAAGTTTTATTACCCCTTTCCTTACCAATATTGACTCTGACTAACTCATCTTCTCAGTATTCGAAATCAATCCAGAGTACAAATCTCAAGAAAAGTCTAGCGAGTTTGAAGGACGCGTCCAACATATCGATGTTGTTAGCGATGCGAAGCATGCTGCTTGATAGATTGAGATGTTTGTTACTAGAAACGATCTAAATATTAGAGACTCAATTTATAATGCGAAAGAAGAGAATCCCTTTGTTTTAATTGCCTGCAAGTTATGAAAAGACGCAATCACTCCAGTAGGCCCAATTAGTGACACGCATGTTATCCAATTAGGTCTGAGCATAGTTCTAGTACGTCATTTAGAAACTAACTAGATACCAACCATATGTGTAGAAGACGTTGTGAGAAGGGAGTTTTGGTGTGGTCTTGGCAAGAGTAGGCGACTCGCTCGTGAGGTACATTGGCCATTCTTGTTGCGACCAACAACAAAATGCCGAAAGCCTGTGCGAGTCTATTTTAGGCATCAAGGTTTTGCTAAATCTCTACATATATATCAATATCGTATTTAGTGTAACTTACAATCAAGCGCCAAGTAGAGTGGCTGCCCATGAGATACAATACCATCTCACGTGCCAGCGAGGTTGCGGCGCAGTGCCTGGGCTAGTATTCTATCCCAAATACAACGACTTTGAAGTTTTGAATCAAAACACATAATAGTCTATAGCTACTTTTTCTAGGTTGTAATAAGGTTGAGTGAAGCAAGTCTCCGTATGTAAGGTAATGGAGTAAGGTATACTAAGTAGGGTAAGTTTGCATTGCGTTGTTCCACCTTTACGTACGTATGGTCATCATTGGCTGGCACGGTGGTTGTGTCCAATGCCATGTAGGTGGCCTCAGGTGCTGAGGCTCAGGTAATTACCTCAGCCTTCTCGCAAATATTATTTATTATGCCAGCAATTCTTCTGGTCTCCTTTTCTTTCTCGTCCTATATTATCTCCGTTAACTAATCGAACACGACTATCGTTGTGGAAACACGCAATGGCAGACCCTCTCAGCATCGCGGGTCCGTAGTTGGTATCACTACAGCCGGTGTACAAGCCTCCATGAAGCTGTACGCCCTCGCAGAAAAGGTTGCGACATCTAGCCAAATGATCACAAGCATCGGGGACGATATCAGCAGCACATGCGCCATCCTCAACCAAGTGCGCGAATTGATCATACCTCAGCCCGATGCGCAAGGCGTTCTCACGTCGGTTTTCAACTCTGTCGCTCTGAAGGACATCTCAGATGCTCTTCAACGTTGCAGGTCAGTTTTCACGGAGATTGGGACCCTGCTGCGTTGTGCATTCGAACAAGTGGGAAAGCGCCCTGCGTTGCACTCAAAAATCGAGCTATCCATGCTTGAAAAGGCAAAATGGCCGTTCTTGCAACCCCAATTCGATGATCTTCGCAGCAATCTCTGAGATGCAAAAGGCAATCTTGTTCTTATGATAGCTGTAGCTACCCTTGCCTTTGCGCAGAGGGACGGTCGTCAGCGACCGATCCACGAAACGGAGAGACTGGAACTTGGGTCTACTATTGTACAGCTGGAACAAGCGCGTAGAATCAAACCACATGAATCTACGGTACACACAGTCTCCGAACAGCCTCGTGGCATGCCTTCCTCGTCTGGGGAGGATCCATTGGGATCTCAAAGTACGCATTTAATGGAGGCATCCCCGCCCAGCTCAAAACAGAACACCGACCCAGGCTTAGTTTCCAGCGTGAGAAAACATGGAGTCCCTTCGATCAGTAGCGGTGTTAGTCTGGTACTGTCTTCTTTGAAACTTCCTAGTAACGGGCGATTGCGAGATCAAAATATTCTTAACAGGTCGAGCCCGGCTGCCGAAGTAGAGGCAGGTACCCTGCCCAAGTCACTCCCAGATGCGCGATCCATCACACGTCCTAGTTGGGATCTACTCCATGAGCAAAATCCTTCGGAGCAGCAATTTCTTCAAAAGTCTGTGGCCTCAACGCCAGTTTCCAGGTCGGCTGGAACCACCCAACTTTCTAAGAATCGGCCACAGGAGAAAACCGCGTCAAAGAATCTTACCCTCACATCTTCCACCTCAAGTAACAGCGAGAAAACAAACCACTATCAGGGATGGTCTACAGACTATTTGCAAGGGCTTGCGGCTGGATACGGAGATTCTGTTACTTTGACTAAGATGAAGCTCCCAGAACAGCCCCTCCAGAAACTGGTCAAGACATACTATGAGGAGGGTAACGATCCACACATTGGGACGCTCGAGCTCACGAAAGAGCAACAGGCCATCATCAAACAAAGCTGGTTGGAGCACTCCCAGGCTGAGCTAGTGTATGTACACGTGCAACGCAACATCACCATCTCCAGCGTATTTGGCATACTAAGCATTGAGATGCTGAAGTGGATCATCAATATTAAAGAATCTCCTCAATCGCCTATTGGGATTGCAATAGGAAGCATGCCGCACATTCCACGCCCTCCTACCTCTATCCGTCGTACGAGCGCCATGAAGACCCTATTCATGAAACTTGTAGGTGGAAGACAAAAGAGTGCTGGAATCTACTTATCACCACCGGACAATGGTGAAACTCGAGTATACCCAGAAATTCCTGGCGATTCTCTCCGCAAACCTTCACTTGAAGGTACCTACAAGCTTTATAGATTGAGTGAATCAACTCAAAACAGCATTCTTGTACCTAGCATCAATACTGTGCCTATAAGCGCAGAGGAAAACCACAGCGAATCTTCACTGAACCTAATTGTGCCTTATGAAATGATGGAATTACCAATTTCTGCATACAAGGGAAGGATAATTCCTCCTAACCTACCACATCCTGAAGAGAATGGCGAAGACATCGTGAAGGAACTTCTAGTCCTATGGATAGTCTCATAAGCTATCTCTTCTTCTCCTACTCTTACATAATCTCCATGCTTCCTTATGCTCTTGTATTTTCCATAGAAGTTCTTCCCTTCATATGCCGAGCGGTTGTAGTATGAGACGGTAGATATTGTAGTTACGCTATGTTTGCTTCGTTTCCAATCTCTTGGCCGTCCACAGACCCAATAAGTCAAGCGGCTCGTGTCAATTTTTCAATCTTCGGCTTCGCATTTTCATACCATAAATGGCTAGCTTTTGATTTTGTATATTGTTCAAAAAGCTTTGTGCGAGAAATTTGACGTACAAGTTGAAAGACTAAAGAAGTAACAGTAACCAAATCGTCACCGCTCTAAAATCAAGCAGTGCCAATTTATACATTTTTCTGATATGATTGCGGAGAGATGAGTGAATATATAGGCCTGACCAAAGCCTAGTCTGTACCTCACAATGCGTACTGTAGAGAGAAGTGTATTACTATGATCAAGATACCGAAACAGCCTCATCACTCTCCACAGCTTTAGTATGAAAGTAACAACAAGCTCAAGTCCAAGAACCACAATCAATCAGCATTTACACGGAAGGAGATGTACTGAACTTGCTAAATTATCAAAAGTCCTATCGACATTGTTGAATAATGAATGAGTGAAGACTGACCACAAGCTCAAAGATTTACGCCCAGCACCGAGAAAGATTCGCCACCACCTGAGCACAGAGGTCCCTCTGCTCTCTCAACATGTTCGGATCATCAGAACAATCGACACTCAGACATTTGAGAACGGCCTGCATGTAAATTTCGCCGCAACGGTACCTTAGCCGAGGTACCTTGTCCAAGATGATACATCTCCGTGCTTTAAAAGGATTCATACTCTGGACCTTGTCTTCATCCATCGTTTGCCTCAATCAAATCTCCAATAACAACATACCCAGCGAGTATACGCCAAAACCATGTCTATATCCTCCCCGCGGATCCTTGCGCTTTGCTGAGTGATGGTATAAATCTAGTGTTATGTCCTGGCCCGCCATAGTTCTGGAGTGTGTATCTGCGCGTGCGGTCTTTGTTCCTTGGGAACCAATAGAGGAACGTCTTCTAGAAGGGTTCTTGTCGTAATATCGTTCGATAGAAAGTTTCCCGTTTTTTTCATTTTCCTCCAGTGGGTCTGGAAAGACCTGTGAGTGTAGAGAGGCCGATGAGTGTAGAGAGCCCGGTCGGTGGTAGTGGAGAAACCTCTTCGCCTCGTTGTGGTCTCTCATCTTGCGGATCTAGATCTGGATTTTCCGGCCTTGAAAAGCCATACCCTGATGTAGTGTCGCCAGGCAATTCAGTCTTCTTCTCGTTCAGGAAACCCTTTCCTCTGCCTCGTTATAATCATCGGTGTGTACTGTAGGCTTCTCCCCATGAACGAGTTGAGCCATGTTTCTGGCCCAGGCTCTGAAAAAGGCACTCCAGGCGACTTGCCTCAACAGGGCTTTCTGGGTCGCTCGCAGAAGGCGCACAAGAGAATCCGGCCCGTGGAGGATACCCACGTTCGTCAGGTGGACATCAGCATCCCCTCCACTCCTGGCCCAATTTTCAACGTCCTCTCGGCTAGAGAGCTGATCGAGCCGCACGATACGCCGCCGCGCCGTGTATGACAACCCAAAGTTAGTGTCTGCTGGTGTCTGTGAAGGCTGAGACTCCACTTGTCGTAGGTCTATGTAGAGTATGATGTAGCAAACCGCAACCCCAACACTGAACATGTCATAGCTTGCAAGATGCCGCGAGGTCTGGACCAACCTGTAGGTGCATGCGGCGTGCCACAGACACTTTCTGGACTGCGCTTCATTGCGCTCTAAAAATTCCCTAAATTTCTTCTTGAAACCCGCCATCTGGGTTGTGTCAGTTCGCCAGCCAGTACCCGCAAACAAGGTCCGCAAGGAGATGGATCGGAGGATAGCCAGAACATGAGGGAGAGATTCATGGCAGCGCCCTGGCTCCCACTTCAAAAACGCGACATGGTCGATAGATTCATCCAGCAGTAAATTTTCAACACTAAAATCCTCGTTTTCGATGAAAGCATGTGGGACGGGAGCCTTGGGGATTCTTGGGCTCATGGCTCTAAGATGGGAGCCAAATGAGTTCATTACAAGTCTTGATCTGAGGCGTTGCCTTTTGATATTCTTCTCGTCGATGTACAGTGCTAGTAAGCTCATCCTGGACAAGAAGGGATCGTAATCTGCCTCAGGTGGTGGGACTTCATGGGATGCCCTTGAGTGTAATCGGACAGCTACACAAATTAGTCATGGCATGAGTCGTCCGAGTCCTGACACACCTTGAAAGCGTACTTGCTTCGACTTCCAGTCTTGGATGTCTGCGCAATACCACATGCGACTAGGACAGGGCATTTGCAGTGATATATCAAATAGACTGAAGTCAGTGGAAATGTCAGTGAAGAGAAAATGAATGCATTCGAGCACTGTGCCACATTAGTAATGCTATATGCGCGCAAAGTAAAGTACCAGACTGACTATAGGTGCAGTAGATGAGGCGAGTGTCTTCTTCCGATGCAAGCCAGCCTGCCCACTCCTCACTGAGAGTAAGGGCGCTCTCCTGGGCTGTTTTCTCAGTGTCTCTTCGAAACACCATGTGATAGCACATGGAAATGAGCATGTGCCTTTGGTGGTGGAACAAAATCATATCCTTGTGCAAACCGCAGGATGAGAGGTGGATGTGGCGTAGGAAAGTGCTTTGTATGAGGGGCTTGCTTGGCCGTTCAATCTGAATCATGACCTGTAGAGGCTAGTCAGCAAATATTTATAAGAAGGGTAGGAGCGAGATGGCGAGGTACTTCATTGTCAACTGCCCTGCCTAGTAAGTCGCACAATATCGACGTGTAATCTTGTATACCGTCAAGTTCAGAGTAATAGCTTCCGATAGCCGCCGTCGCTAGGAGCAAGATCCAAGGTAGTCCTTCGGCTTCTAGGCGTGAAACATGCAAGAAGGGGAATTGAGGGTCGAAATATTCGAAGTAGAGATCGACAAAGGCTTGAACAAGGCGAATGGGAACGAAACTCGATGTACTGTCCTGGCATTGCGTTGCATAGAAGTTTTGTAAGTCTCCATATGCACGAAGGGGGACATTTTGGACGTGGCCAAATGCCTCCGCCTCGGCGGTCTGCATGTGATTGTGGTGCGTTTGTGGGAACCGCCGACATGGAGGCTTGCAGTGCAAACCAGAGCTGTTCACAGTTGTATACGTTAGATTTGTATCAGACGAATGGTCTCGCAAAGGATTGTTCAAACACTCGGTTGATAGAGCGGAAGTTCCTTGGCTTCGCACATGATAATCTGGGGGGTGGTTATGCGTCTCGACACCGCACTGCTGGTTGTGGTTTCCCATGTCATATGGAGTGTCAAGGACATCTCCCAGTCCCTCGGGTACCAGCCAGAATGGAAAGTAAGCTGCCATAGGATCCCAACCGGCTGCAAATTCGTTCATCACTGTGTCTCCATGGAGAGACAAAGAGGGATCCCATTGGTTGGATGTATGGAGAGCAGTGTCATTACCTAGCGACGAAGGTGTAAAGGTAGTGGGCGCAGGAATTGAGTGCATAGCCACAGTAGGAGAAAATGAAAAGCGGCCTTGGCTGTTACTGGTAGGGCTGCTGGTAGGGTCGTTGGTATTGTGATACAAAGCGGACTGCTCAGCGGCCTCCAGTGGTTGCCTATGCGTGACGTGAAGCCCGATTGATTGGCTATTGACATTATTAGGATGTGGATCAGGTGGAATCGAGCTGCTCATCACAGCATCAATGCGAGCAGCGGGTGTTTCGCTCCTTCGAGAGGAGGAATATGTGACATTTGCGGCCCTTCCTGGGCTATATGTGCACTTGGTTCCGGCTTGCTGGCAGCGTGCACATGGCAAGCCGCCCCGACAACGCTGCTTGAGTCGGGCACAGGAAAGACAAGCTTGGACACAGCGGCGCGGCATGCTGTGTATCTGATCTTCATTGTGGTGAATGCTACTGTGGCGCATGAGGGTGTCCCTACGACGAAGGTCCTGATTAGCGACATTCTGCGTCTACCCGGTCCTTCAATACTACACACGACGCACCTCCGAGCGAAGGACTTGGAGCAAACCTCGCATTGAAATGGCTTGACACCAGAATGCCTTCGCAGGTGACGGTCCCAGTGCTCTTTACGCAGGAACGTATCTCCGCAATGCTCACATGTGAGGTTTGCCGAGTCAGACGCCATTCTCAGCCGGTTCGACTTTGGGTGAGGAGGGAATGCGATGATTGGGACTGCACCGGCATCGACCCCGCACCAGCCGTCGCTGGAGCACGTGCCGGGACTTCCAAGTTGTCAGCTTTTCCAGTCCTAGGCAATTTTCGCTCCCGGTCAAAGGCATCTAGTGAATAGAAGGTATCGGTCGAGTTCGGGAGAGCGAGACAGGTGTGGACCCACCCCCACCGGGCCCTGTCGGCCCAAACGGGCCATCTGAGCCGTGCTCCACCACTTGAGGGCTATTAGCCCCTCGAGGCCACAACTCGTAACAAACTATCGATCGAGTCTCCTCCACCGGGATCAGTAGGGAAAACACGTATGCACGAGCGTCTCAAAGTATTCCAACAACCCTCTAGTATGGCCCAATCGCATAAGGGCTTTGTTCACGAGCACTTCATCTCAGTACGTACGCGATGCTGTTGGACCTATTGCTATTCACTTGCTCCTGACCTTTACCGGCATCATCCAACTTGACTGTCCCGAATGTGTCCCGTATTCCCACAGCCGCAATGGGGCACGTAGGGAATTCTACTGACTATACAACCCTTGGATGGTTCGGTGAGTTCACCCTTATCTATCTATGCTCATGGATACTAACAATGTCCAGGCGCCACGACGTTTCGGCTTCGTACCAGGGACGTCACCATCTTCTTGGACACCTGGCTGGACAAGCCGTCCGTCCTGCCTAAGTACCTTGCAGTGGATGACGTAACAGAGGCAGACTACATCTTCATCTCCCATGCTCACTTTGACCAGTAAGTCGATGACCTCATGATCCACGAGACACAGCATGCTGACTACCTGGGAAGTCTGCCTGGAGCCGACCGCATCGCCATCAGAACCGGCGCTATTGTAATCGCCAACGGTGAATCTATCCACTATCTTCGCAAAGCGGGTGTCCTAGAGGAGTAGCTCATTTCTGTGTCAGGCAGCGAGCGGATACCGCTTTTCACGCGCGCAGTTCGCTAGCAAGCACAACAGGATCCATTGCTACAAGCCAAAGGGCCCCCCGGCGCACCCATCTTCCCAGTGCATACGCTGGCTGCCCTTTCGATGCATGTATAGCCATCTCTGCATTGTCTGATGCCTGAAGACCACTTCCAGGTCATCGATACAGCAACGGTATACACTGGTTCAGCAACCCCATACACATGTTCCCTAGACATCACGTTTGGGATGAAGCATGGCCTATTGCGTCTTGGTGATCTTGTCCCACCCAAGAAGCTTCGCGATGGCCAATGCTCGTTCATAGAGTACATCGGTGACCGGGAACGTGATGTATTCTCACATTGTGATGGTGGTCAGTTAATGTTCAACTTCGTCATCGGAAAGAAGGCCCTTCTCTGAGTGCTCACCTTGGCGCTTACGATGGTGTTATGAGGGACATGCAGCCCAAGCCAGATGTCGCCATCTTGGCCATTGCTGGACGAGCCAACTTCAACGGACAACCATTTAATGGCTGATCGGCCCAGTTTGCTATCAAGGAGGTTGGGTGGCTTGAAAATCCGCGGACGGTAATCTGGGCTCTTCATGATGATAGGCGTGTGATTGCCACTTGACATATACCACCATTACGGAAACGACGTACTAACATGCCTGGATTAGCTGTATCCCCCCTTACCGAATTGAAACAGCAGCAGCTACTGCTGCAGTAGATGAGTGTACTAAATCGAAGGTTTTAGATCTGAAGCATGCTGAGATGGTCGTGTTGAATTTGTAGGGTTTGGTGACAGTACAAGACTCCACCTGGAACTGTGGACACCGGAGATGAACACATGCATTCTGTATCACTCTAGAACCAGCCGAAAACTGACAGCTGAAATAAAAGATTGAGGTACATACTTGTGTAGTACGCAGCACTTGCCCGATCGCCATTTCTCTATTCCGCTGTCTGCACTGAGTAATTTCATCCAATATCACTCTTCGGAAACACGAACCAACCGTGATATACCGGCTGCTCTTCCTCTTTCTGCAAGCACCTAAACAAAATCAAAGTATGGAAGGCTATGCACGTGTTGTATGTCCCACATGGCTCCGCCGGAAAGGCCTGTCTGCTCTTCAATCTATGGACGTTCCTAGGCATCTACCTAAAACAGGAAAATTTAGCGAAGTTTGTATATATACAAACATGAAATACCTCACATCTAGAATCATCCCAATTTGAAACTGTTCCAACCTTTCTTGAGCCTCTTCGTTGCCCGTCAACATGTCTGCAACTGATGAAGTGACTGAATTCGAGCTAAAGCCAAACGAGCTTCGAGAAAAAGAAACGCCGACAACGAATACGCAGGAGACGAACAATGACACTGATGTCTTCCCCGAAGGTGGGCGAGAAGCTTGGCTTGTAGTCGTGGGTGCATGGTGTGCGCTGTTCTGTACCTTTGGCCTTGTGAGCTGTGGTGGAACATTTGTCGAGTACTATAAGAATGGGCCTCTGGCATCGTACAGCACTGGAACTATCAGTTGGATCACCAGCTCGCAGGTGTTTATTCAGGTCGGTAGCATGGCTGTGGTACGTTTCTCCTTCCCTTCCATAGCTTTGCCTTCTCAGAGCCACCTACTCACGTACAGTCACCACCAGTGGGGCCGCTTGTACGACTCGTACGCTCCGCGTTGGATGCTCCTCCTGAGCACTCCTGTGTACTGCTTCGGTCTCATGATGACCTCGCTATCGACCGAGTACTACCAGATCCTCCTCTCGCAGTCGGTTCTCAGCTCACTCGGGTCGGGTGCCCTCTTTAACGCCGGAATGACATCCACGACGTCGTGGTTCCTCCGTAGACGCGGCACTGTGTTCGGCATCGTCAACTCGGGCTCGTCACTCGGCGGCGTTGTCCTCCCCATCATGATTACACACCTATTTCGCTCCATTGGATTCGCCTGGACCCTTCGTGTTCTCGGCTTCTTCTTCCTGGCCCTGGGCACCATTACCTGTGTCACCGTCAAGACACGGCTGACGCCCACGCCGCGTCCCATCTCTCTTTCTGATTATGTCCGGCCGTTTCAAGAACGAACTGCTGTATTGACCATGCTCGGTGGATTTTTATACTTTTGGGGCATGTTTTTGCCTCTAAATTACATCATCGTCCAGGCACAGGCGAACGGTATCTCACCATCCGTCACTCCCTACCTCCTCTCCATAATCAATGGGGTGAGCCTTATTGGTCGCCTATTTTGGGGTATTCTGTGCGACCGGTTCGGGCGCTTCAACTGTATAGTCATCATTAACTGCTTTACGGGTATCGCAACACTAGCCCTATGGATTCCGGGAAGTAAGAACACAGCAGCCATCATCATGTGCGCAGTTGCTTTTGGTTTTGGATCAGGGGGCTATGTCACACTGTTTTTGGCCTGCATGGCACAGATATCACTACAGGAGGAGATAGGCACGCGGATGGGTTTGGCTTAGCTTACTAATGCATTTGGTGCTTTAACAGGGTCTCCGCTTGGGGGTGCGTTGATCTCAGGTCACGGTGACACAACCAACTTTCTTGGCCTACAAGCGTTTTGTGGTGTTGCTATGATAGCATCCGTCGTCGCCCTGGGATTGGCGCGTTATACCCAGGCTGGCCTGAAGTTGGTGAAGGTATAGGCTTGGGGCCAGTAGCTACACAGTGCTACTGCCGAACAAGACATGGGGCCTTGCTCAAATGAACCGAATCTGAGCCCTGAGAACACATGGCGGGCAGATACGGAACTCTTTCGTGATACCTCTTTCATAGCAAACCAACTTTTAAGCAAATAACTCCGCTATGCACAGTACATAAGACAGGTTGAAGCATATTTTATATGAAACAGATATGAACCTATGCATGAATGCAAGTATTTGAAGCGCCTGATAACGATCGGGTCGGGGTGTGTATGAAAAATTCCAAACATAACCTGCTGCTAAAGGTGTACCAATATGTGCAAAGTTTATAGTTTCTAACATACATTGTCACCGTCAAACAGAACATTATTACATAGAAGAAACATCAAAGCCACATCTACTGAATAATGCTCAGTTACTTTCCCTTTGCCCATAAATCTTCTGATACTCCAAAGTGTGTGCCGTCGCTACTGAAAAAACGAGGCTAAGGAAGTTCAGGAGCGTCATCATGAGGCTCCCAACCCAACCTTCGAGCGACCTGCACGACTGCACCTACTACTCCCAGCAGTAGGCGAACACCGAGAGCAACAATTTTACCTTTAGTGGTGTTGAGGTCTGGCAACTGCATACGTCATTCAGTCAGTATGGCCGCGAAAAAAAGGCATCGAATGAAACAGGTAACGTACAGTTTGCTGAGCGCTTGTCTTGACCCAAGCCATAGCTCGGGGAATCATGGCATTCTCATATATGGCCAACTGAGTTTGCGCTTCCTCGTTTGTGACTTGACCGCGTGCCATTTTCTGCCGTGCCAGTTCTAGTAGAGGCTCCAGAATGTCGGCTGTATCACGTAAGGCATTGTTGGCACCCATGCCTCGTGTCGGGAGCATTGGGTGGAATGAATCACCCATGAGCCAAACCCGCGGATGGGCTGTTTCTGGGTCGGATGCATGCACCTTGTCTGCCCGTGTCCGCCGCCGCCAATCCACGGGCGTGTCCTTTGCTTGCCGTAGGGGAACGGCTTGAAGCGCATTGAGCGCCATCGCGTCAATAAGCTTCATGAGTTCCGGGTGCCACCTGGCTTCTACCATCTGTTGTCGCATGTAACCTTTGGGGTCGGCTAGCTTGACAACCTCGCGCGGAGAAAGGCCCCCATCCCAACTGAAGGCCACCATGAGCGATGCCTGTGCCTCGTCGTATTCGCTTGGTTCATTTCCACTTAAATCTAACTGATTTGAAGACTTCTGCTGGCGCAATTTTATGCTGTCGGGAAGGTAGAGGGCAGCAAATAGTTTGCATCTTTGGCCCGCGGTATATATCGTGCCTTTTTCCACCAATCCACGTGGCAGATCGTGGAGGACAGTCCGTGAGACGTGGCACTTCCCTAGGACGCCACCGGTATCCGTCTTCGGGGGATCGACTATGTTGTTGCAGCCGAGCTGTTTGTTGATACGACTTCCGCTGCCTTCGGCCGAGATCAGGATGTCACAATCCGCATTCGAACCATCGGAGAAATGAGCTCTGATCTTCTCGTGCGACACATCTTCAAGCTTAATGACTTCGTACTTCACAAAGGTCTTGCCGTGGTGTATGATGTTCTGCTTCAAGAGCGGTGCCTGCAATAGATTGCGCAGGCGAGCCCGTCCAATCGGTGCCGACTTCTGGTACACTGGGAACTTGCTAAGATCTAACACAAGCTTCATGTTGGTGTCGAAAATGGCTGGTGCAGAAGATACAACACCTCCGGATCGACCGAAGCAAAGAAGTAGATCCGTGTATTGGGGTTCTGACAGGCATGCTCGAAGTCCAATAAGCGCATATGAGCCTAGGCGAATCTGGTAGCCATCCCGGCCAGAATCTCGCTCGTCTCTCTCATAGATAGCGACATTCACATAATCTTTTGCCTCGTTAAGAATCCCATTGGCCAGACAGCTTCCAGCAAGCCCTCCCCCGATTATGATGACATCCAGAGCAGCCATCGATGCTGTGAGTTGTGAAGCGTGATAAAGGAAAGTTGGGGATGAGACTGATGTTCTCAGCTTCTCAGTTCGTCGTGCGGCATGTTCTCGTTACTTGATACGAAGCTTTTATGGTCAAAGCCGATTGCATGGTCATCTGTGTCCCACCGGGTAGCATATAGGTTCAGGTACGGATCTATAAGCCGGTGGCTCGAAGTAGCTTAGCCCTCCGCCGGCTCCACCGGTACTTTATTCCGAATTTGCGGGACATTGATGCAGGGGATAAGTATGCTTTTCTTTCTGTAAACGTAGACGTTGACTGGGCTTCAGTCGTGCGGAATCTTGATAATGTTAAACAGTAGTTAGGTAGAGTCGCATTTGAGGACACTGCATTTGGAAAAAGACGGTATTGTGTTGCGTTTGTTGAATGTTTGCGGAGATACTGGAGCTCACGTGACGTCGTGCTAAGACACCTTCCCAATCAAGCATGGGGCATGTAGAACCGAAATCTCTGGCAACGCCACGAGTTCTCGATATCGGGTTGGTCTACTCAATACATCCTCATCAAGCTACTCTCTCGATTCTTTGCTTTTCAGAAACATAAAGTTAGACTTTGAGGTGGAGCGGTGTGTTGTCAATGCTTTGTAGTGCGGCATAGGCTGGTCATTGGGTCTCCACATCGGGATCTCAAAAACGCTATTATCTCCACCAATACTTACCCGATTGGGAATTTTAATAGCTTATTTTAAAGCTCTCTATTAGGGCTTTATTTTACTATATTATACTATATAAGGAGATATCTAAGATCGGAGTAAAATGTGGAGACCCAACTCTTAGCAAGGTGGGTAGGCTAATAACTTCTTACATATCAGAGTTATCCTGTTACTATATTCTACAGGAATAAAGCTTAGATTAAGGGCTACAAAATGAGCTACTAAACTTCCCAATTGGGTAAGTATCGGTGGAGTGAATTAAGAAAAACGATCCCGAGGTGGAGACCCAACTTACCACGCTATGCACGAACCCGTGAGGTACGTTAGCAATAATGCAATAATAAGATCCTTAAATATATAACTTCTTGTGAATATGATTTAGACGTGTATTATTACAGAAATAGTATACGAGTAAGATAGGGAAGAGAAATTGACCACTACGCGCCTTACAGAAGCCTGTATGGTACTAAGTTTGCTCTTCAAACTTAGCTTTGCGGTATCTGGCTACTATCTATTGAAGACCGATTTCATATGTAATTAGCGGATTCTAGAGCTTAATCCACGTGATTTTTAACATATCATCAACGTACACTAAATGGCCAACACTATGGCATACTAGACTAAAACTTCTAGTTCATTACTATTGCTTATAATGATATTACTATTTCCTCTAGTGGTCGCGGATGAAAGATGTGTTGAACCTAAGTTGAACTTTTGTGGTGATATCACTTTCTAAAATGAATATAGTTAACTAACCTCCGTCCCTTTGCAGCGAGAAACCAAGTGAACCAAGAAAAACTACACTCTTATGCACTTGCAGCTTCCGCTTTGCGCACACGGCTTTGTTGTAATCCCACGCTTACCCCTGTCTCGCTTACCCCAGGCTTTCCCTCAATCTTTCTAGCTCTTGTCAGCACGACCCCTCGCTCCTTGCCTACAGAAACCGCTAGGCTTGTCACTTTTGGTATTAGTAAGCATCTTACAGCATCTTACAGCGTACTGTACAGTTTTCTAAGCACAGGTAACTCGTCCTTAGGCAGAGTAGAAAGCAGCCTTGCAGGAGAATCTAATAGTTTGTAGGTTCATTACTCCTTTATTGTACAGCGTACGTATACAGAGCTAACTAACGATCATAATTAAAACGCCTTCTTAACAAGCTTCCCTATTGATAATCTTGAGCTCTTCTTTCTCCTATCATGTTGTGGTGCCGACGCCTCTTCTGCTAGTAGGAGCCTCAGCTATGCTTCCTTATTTTAACTAGGAAGCGGCAAAGCTTTAATCTTCGCCGCTAGATTCGTGCACCTCTCGCTCGACTGACCAAGCACACTGACCAGTCCTGAAAGGGCCCTGGCGTACACTGCTCGTGCCTTGGTGACCTCGGCTTGCTTCACATAGACATCGTCCATGTTCTCTAAGGTTTTGAGTGCTGGGAGATACTGCTGGACACGGTCACTGCTAAGTGCCTCCTCGTACCCTCGCAGCGCCCGCAAGTACATCTTCTCCGCTTCGCCCAGCTTGCCTTGGGCCGCGTAGAGTAACTAGTTATATAGCCTAGCTATAGCATTAAGAGCCTATCATGAAGCGCAATGCTTACTTATCTACCTACCTACAGCGTTCTTGTCTGCCGCGAGCACCAGCAGGCAGTCTATAGCGTTGACGAGCATCTAAAGCGACACCATAAGCTCCCTATCACGAAGAGAAGAGAGCTACAGGAACAGTATAGCAGCTTCCTACTCCTGCAGCCTGTCCAGGTGCCGCTACCAGCGCTACCTAGCACGCCAATCGCTGAGCTAGGCCTACCACAGAACGCGTTCCTCTGCTGCTATAAGGAAGATACTACTAGCTATAGCAGGAGTAGTAGTAGTAATAGTAGCAGCTGCAGCTTTATTAGCACTAGCCGTGATCGCATGCGTAAGCACATTAACCAGCAGCATAGCGTAAAGCTTACGCGCTGGTCAATCTCATCAGCTCCTACATATAACGATCATGAGTCGCAGGCCAAGCGCTGTCGGGAACCTCATTACTAATAACGCCGTGCGATGACCTTTACATAAGTTGAGCTAGGATGCTACAATCAATACAATATACACTCTCTCCTGATTTTTCTGTCTACAATACCCGCACTCAACCTTGCGACACTTTTCTTAATCTCCCATACTTGCAATACCGCACCCAACCGTGCGACATCATGCTACGCAGTTATGGAGGCCTGTAAAGGCACAGACGTTCTTCCGCGAGAAGCGATGTATACGCTACTTTGTCGTACAGGAGCAGGAGCAGCAGGAGCTGAATGCACGAGTGTGCCAGTCGAGGGGCCGCGACGAGAACGCGTGGCGCATGGACATGATCCAGCCGCTGATGAAGCTCTCGACGAGGCTTAATGGGAAGGGGAAATCTGGCTTCAGAGCGTGTGGGTAATCCTTTGCCTCATTTATAGCACTCGATGCTGATCTTCGAGTAGAAAATCCCAGGCCATCACTTTTGAAGCTCTGTCCTCAGTCCCCGACCCCTATGGAAAACCCTACCCCTTCGATTGCAAAGCTGACTCCACACTTTCCTTTTTCTACATGCCATCACCATGCTTCAAAGGCATATACAATCGCCTGAAAACCGCGGGCAACCTTATCGTAAGTCACATAGCAGACGCATTCACGAAGATGAGCGCCTTCTTCTCCTGTGTAGAGTGAATAATAACTCAGCATATAGATGGCAAAAACTCTATAGAAGAAGATCTAGCTTGCGCGACGCGTAGGACTAGTAGACGAGAGTAGCCTAGTCGGGCGCTGCTTCGCTATCTTCGGAGATAAGGCCCATATTTATTTTGCGTGTTTATTGGAAGAGAAGGATACCTTGCATATCCTGGGATCGGAGGCTGGTTTCTTAGGTCTCTGCAAGACGAGGAGCGTGAGAAGCATCTTTTTGGCGCTGAGGCTTTGGCAGAATGTGATTCGATATGGAAGGAATGGATGTGATGAGAGATTCTGGGGTGGCCTTTTGTGGAAACGGTATTACAGAGACTCACTGAAAACGTCGATGAAGGGCATACTCATTTGGGCTTCGTAGAAAAGCCGCCTTAACAGCACTTGAGCCCTGTGCGCATGAAGTATTCTAGTGGGGAACGCGCGCTCGGACTTTAATTCTGGGTTCTGCACGCTGGATATGGGCCCTACATCGTTATTTACAATCCCATCGGCACTGAAATCAACTCCATAGCTCTGTTCTTTTGTTGTTGTACAGTGCCCAAAGCCGATGGAAGAATGCCGAAGAGCTGGAGTGCAAGTGGTAAAGACTCCCAAGACGAAGCTCGGATCGGACCATCCCTCGATATTGACCAGCATATCCAACCTTGCATTCACGTTTAAGGGTTTTTCCAAGCAGGATTTAGAAAAATTGAAAACATAAGAACGTCTAATTGATTTCTTTTCCTTCTGCTCATTGCATGACAATCATCGTTGCAGACTCCGCAACAAGCAATCTAGATTGGTCCGATTGATTGACTTGATTGGTTCACTCAATCCAATCAATCCAATCAATCCAATCAATCCAATCAATCCAATCAATCCAATCAATCCAATCAATCCAATCAATCCAATCAATCCAATCAATCCAATCGGTCACTACTAGAACACTAGCTTCAAATCAATCTAAGAAACAAAGATTGATTGAATTGGTTGAATTGATTGCATTGGTTGAATTGATTGC